CGAACTGGATCGACTTCTGTCGATCTCTCCTACGAAGGAGGGATCGAACATGCAGCATCACAGCAAATCTCTTGGGAGCCGGCCATATATATATATATACATATATATATATACATATATATATATACCCAGAGACTCCAAAACCCCTTATGAGGAATATATACCTTAAATTATAATAGGGATCCCTATTATAATTTATATGTATATTCCTTAATTAAGGGGTTTTGGAATCTCTGTGTATATATGCTATGATCGATCGATCACATGCATGCATGTGCATGCATCAATTGCACATGTGGTACCATATATAACACATGCATGTGCAAAAATCGCATGTCGCATCGTGCTTAAATATGATGTTTAAGAACAGGATTCTGTGTAATTACACGGAAAATTGCCTCGCTTAATTAAGAAGATCTAGCTTATTTACGTGGACGGAAAAAACGCTTAATCTTAATTAAGCACTTTTGGAATTTCTGGGTTCAACCCCGTTTCCAAGTCTCCTTCAAAGCCTTCGAAGCTCTGCTCCCTTCATCCCCTTTGAAGCCTTGAAAACCCCCTTCGTCTTCACCTTCAAAGCCTCAAAGCTTTGCTCCAAAGCCACCTTCGTCCTCTCACCACCCTGCCTTATGGAGGGACGTTATCCAGCTTGACTGCTTACGGCACTTTCCTGAAATCCCAGTCGTGATACCATCTTGGGGCCAACGGCGCGACCAACGCTTTTGCCTACTTACATTACAGATCGTGTTAAACTACTGTTTCACGCCGCACGAGGCTTACTTGGCTTGTCTTCGCCTCCAGCATGGGCTTTTTTGTCTTCGTCTTTGGGTCTGGCTCAGTCCCTGCAGTTGAGGTCACTCATCAACCTGACTTTCAGCTTTACAGACCAGTTCTTGCAGAACTTTTGGTAGTGACCAGCTTGGTTTTCAATGTGATAGAGCAGTGCGAGCCTCTCGCAGCCAATGCATACTGCACGTAAGATGATAATGTCCATGCTTGTGATGTTTTCGTTTGCGGGTCTCCGTCCCACCGTTTTATCAGTCTTTTCTTTTTAATAGTCCAACATATGCTGTCTGTCCTGGCATAAACAAATTTGGTGGGGTTTCAACTTTGAGTAGTTCCCCAAAAGAATTTGTTGTGAATGACCAAACATCCAAGCGCAGGTTGTGTGGTCCTCGTCAGCACTGAACAGTGCAAGCCCCCGATAACCAGCTCGTAAGGTACTAGATTACATCATACCATTGCCGTTTCACGACGGTTGAAGGAACATCGTGGAAACCCGTATGTTAGCTTTGGCAAAAGGCGGAACCCATGGCCAGCTTGCACTGGTCGTTGGCCGTTGGCCTGTAGAAGACATCTGACACACATTTGTCGGGCCCAGTGATTGCACGCTAGTTGGATTGAAAGCTGTGGTTGTACCATGCAAATCCATTGCGTCTGTTTGGCTGATGTCAAGAACAGATTTTTGACTCTCTTGTGTGATACGCGTTTTTGAATCGGTTTTGAAGGTCGTGTTAGGTGCATAATAGTTGAATTTCATTCGAAGATTATTCCCCCGAGTCTTGCCAAAGACTGGGAAGCTTTTGCTGTTTTCTTTATTAACTTCAGCTAAGCCCAGTCCTTTTAGTTTTGAACCGAAGCTTGTAGCTTTTGGTCTGTCTGTAATCTTTCTGCAGACGGTGCTTGGCTTCATTGTGTTTGTTCTGTTGGACATTCTTTGCACAGAATCGTCCTGCTTCTGTGTTTGGCTGCACTTGTGAACCCAAGCTGCCGCGGTTGTGGTGGCTTTGATCCACAAGTTTTCTGTGCCGGGTGAAATGATCCTTGACTGATGTGTGGCAGGCCCAAGCAGTTTCAGCGGGGTTTTGGGCATAAGCTGCTGGGTCTGGAACGCTGGTGCAGGCCTTGTCAGCAAGTTTTTGCAGCACCAGCATGGCCACAACGATGCGCAAAGCACGCCAGAAAATGCAGGAAACACGGGTGCCTCAGAAAGTGGTTTGTGCCGACTTGTGCTCAGGTGCTTCGCATGGCGAGACAACCAGATGAAGTTCCAATTTTGTGACGGGGCCTTGGATGAGATTCGGGCCAAGTTGAACACGGATGAACTCAGAATCATTCGGCAATGTCGTTTTCTTGGAGGGAATCAAGGTGGTTTGTGGCAGAGCTTGCGAAGCTGCATGCTGCCAGCCTCGTGCATGTTCAGGTCCTGACACCGACGTAGAGGCATTCGGAGCTGGAAGACCATTTGTTGCATTGGAGTCCTTCCTGAATTGGACAGGCAGCATCAAGCGAAGACTGCAGTCGACACCAGGCTTCTCAATGCGAGATACGAGTGTGATAGCAATGTGGTTTCCTTGCTTTATGAAGGTTGACATCTCTGATTGCTTCGCAGGAATGCAGGACTTTGCAGTCATGCGATTCTCCAAGTCCCAAGGCACGTGGATGCACGGGCACATCTGCCAGTCGAAGATGTCTTGCATGTCATTACCTTGTTGTACACTTCCCAATTGTCAGTGGTTGAATGCCGTGTCTTGAATGGCCTTGCGCGGCATGAGCAGGACAGCTTGAGTGCGAGTTTCTTGCAAGTGCAGGTGCGTCGACGAGCGGTGCTTGCAACGGTGTCGCTATCCGTGTTGACCTCGTCTGAGGTTGAACAATCCAAGTGCTCATGCGTGTCCAAGCAGGATGATGTGCTTGCTGTTGTTCCGTATTTGCAGTTTGCTACAGTCACGGTCGCAGCTTGAAAATGACATCTCGAGGTTCCTGCAACTGGTTAAACTGCTTTTGAGGCCTTGGCTGTCATATTCTTTGTCGGGATTGCAGTTTCTGGACACCCGATGCACCACAGGGCAACCAACGCAGCTTGATTGCACTCCCCCGTTGCGACCGCATGATGACCAGATGTTTCGTTTGGTCCTCTCGTTGGCGTAGCTTGTTTTCTGCAGCAGTCAAGGCTGAACGCGATCTGCAAGCAGTAGGCCTAGATGAGTTCGCCGCAGAAGCTTCGCACCTTGGCATCACCAGCTGCTTGGGAGGGTGTGCTACTACCGAGACGAGAAGCATCTCAGGTCGGGAACCGAGCTGGACTCGGAAAGCACCTGTGGCAGAATTTTTCTTTGCTGTGCAACGGGTTTGCAGGTGCGTAGATGCTGAGGTTTCTAAATTTCAGGCATCCAGCACTGACTCAATTTCGTACTGTGATTCCATCTAACAAGCCATGTCTCGTTTAATCGGAGGCCCAGGGCACCGGGCACAAGAGGCATTAGTCTCAGAAGTCACATTAGTCCGAAATCCATGTTTTGGGGCACTGATGGAATGTCGGTCTATCATCTGCTGGATCAGTCCAAGGTGATGCAGCAGGTACAGCCGCAGCTCAGCTGCAATTAATTTTAGTATACGTTGCCAGAGCAAGTGCTTGCTTGACGCCTTGCTCGGATTTCAGCAGGCAAGCGCATTTCGGGAAGCATTTATTTGTTTTGCATCTAGCCGTCCCTAAGGCCTGCAATATGATTAAAAGCTTATGAACGGGGCAAGGAGTCGCTTGAGAGGTATTTGGCAGCACACTGCCGATGCAGTGGAGTAGTGTGGCAGTAGAAAAGCAACATCTTGTCGTGGCAGGAATATCCATTGACACCGTACTAGTAGGATGTCACGAAAGGAGACACAGGATGATACCACGATAACACAATCAAACGATGAGATCGCCGAACTTCATGCTATGAAGTCAGCTGTCATGCCTCAGCTCGAGCAGTACAAGCATGTAACGAAATACCGAGACATGATCAAGAATGCGAATAGCACACACACACATATATATATATACACACACACACACATACATACATATAGATACATATACAGGTATAGTTTTGAACATATATGTACATATACATATATATACATATAAAAATGTCAAATTATGTTTTATTACATTATGTTATGTTATACTATGTTATATTACTATATATGATATCACATTAAACTATGTTTTGCTATATCATGTTATACTATGTTATATTATGTTGTATTTTATCATTTTATAACATGTAGATGTACATGTGTATGTAAATATAGATATTCATATAATTTATCAAATAAATAAGTAAACAAATAAATAGACAAATAAATAAGTAAAAAAATTAAATAGACAAAGAAAAAGATATAAATAAATATGAAGAAATAAGTATAAATAAATAAACATATATATATACATATACATATATATAAGCACATCTTTGTATTCCATATATGTATGTATGTATGTATGTATGTATGTATGTATGTATGTATGTATGTATGTGTACATATCTATGTGTATGTGTGTTATATGCATATGTGCACACACACAAACACACATATATATATAGTTACACATAAAAAATAGACATAGATATATAAACACAGTACAGTGTAGCATGGTACATTACAACGTGATACAGTATAACGTAAGATACGAAAATTGTTCGAAGATTACATTAGCAAAACGAATAGAGAGCAGTATAAGCATTGCCTGCAAGAAGAACTCGGTCGTGTCACAACTTGCTGTCTCAGTTCCTTTTCATCATGCAGGTAGATAAGTAAGTTTAGAGACGAACAGGAGCTAGTCGCGCTTTTCTGCAATAGGGTAACGTGAACAGCACGATCATGATGGCTGGCCAACATCTGCTTTTGAACTCCTGTTGTCAGGACATGGCTTCCATTGATGCTGCCGATGCTTCACAAGTTGATGCTTCAGAAGCTCGGCGATGCAGGTTGCTTCAAGTTCTTCTTTTGCCGAGATATCCCTATGCTAGGGAGGACATCGGATTCTTGTTCATGTTCGCAGGGGTATGAATGTTACAACAAGCCTTCCAAACGTGATAATCCGTGCTGGACACCTATTGTGCGAGATCAGTTGTTTCTTTGGACATGCTGGCACAGCCCACTTTAAGGACCCAGAAGTCGTTGGAGATGCGACAGACGCTGTCGAGCTCGGGGGCGGTGCAAATGATGTTGGATCTACATCGGAAGTTCTGCCAGGCGACATGCAGACTTC